ATGGTTGCTCAGATTTGTCCTTTCTAGAATTAGCACATAGGTCCTGGACTACGTTTATGGGCTGTTGTTCCAATCACAACTGGATTTTCAGAGATTTTGTCATGCCCTTTAGATTGCTTGGTTTATTTGATGCCACTCAGTGTCCCACCAGTCCCTGGTATCTCTGTCAGAAGGGGCAGAAGCTTACCTGTCTGGAAACTTAGAAATAACCCTAAACTTCCTAATATCTATTGGAGATACAGGAGGATTATAGATCGACAATGACTTGCCATGTTGGGAGAATTTCAATTGTCTGGTCCCCAGGATATGGCAATTATTTGATTATGTCACCCAGGTGCCATCTGGCTACTTGGTGTCTCTTGGTTGAGGAGGGAATCTCAGGCTCAGCTGGGAAGAAGACCACATCTTTTTACTCTTATTGTCAGTGCCCCAGTCCATCTCTCTTGGCAGTGCTCGTAGCACACCTGATGTTGTCGATGACAGTCCCTTCCAATTTTGGGGTGGAATAAGTCTACCTAGGTGACTTTCTGTTGGTTGGGCAGAGGTCAGGAAGTACCAGGCCTAGCCTTCTTATGTTGGGTATGGGGACTGTAAAATGCAATACTGCTATGTTGTTCCTTGACTTCTGGGGTCTCTAACTAGTGCACTTTTATTTCCACCTTTTTAGAGTGTTCATTTACGGAAAATGTACTTAGGAGAAAGGATAAACAAGTCTATGCCATCTTGTTTACACAGGAAGTCCAATTTACCCATTTTTATATCTTCCATGTTTTACTTTAGGACACTTAGTATACAATTATAAATATTGCTGTAATTTCTTTGTCTGCTAATTCTGACATTTGTACCAACCTGTTCAGCTTTCATCCACTGATTTGTTTCTTCATGATGGATTCCTTTTCTCTGCAATGTAGATAATTTTTATTAGATGCCAGAAATGTAAATTTTGCCCTTCATTTATAGGTATTTAAATATTTTAGGTAGTTTGGTTCTTTCAAGTTTTGCTTTTAAGATATGTCAGGCAGAACCAGAATAGTGTTCAGGTCAGCACTCATTATCTCCCTCTCCTGAGGTAAGTCCCTTCTGTGTATCTGCCCAATAACCACACATCTTCAGATATTCCAGATTGGCTCTCAGAACAGATTATGGCTTTCTGTAATGACTGCGCATTATTAATTCAACATGGTATTTTCCCTCTGACTCAAGTAGTTTTCTGGTATTCATTTACCAATCAGTACTCAGTGGAATACTGAAAGGGACCCACCACAGACCTTGGAAATCTTTTATCTGTGCAGCTCTTTCTGCTATGGTTTTCTGTTCTGTAAACTGTTGGCATCTTGGTCTCCAAGAGGTTTAGCTGTTTCTTCATCCTAGACAATCACCAGCCTCCTCTTGTCCCCTGCCTGGGCCACAGCTGGGAATCTGTCAAGGCAATAAGCTAGGATAGTCCTAGGGCTCACCTAGCATTGACAAACCATTGTTTCATACATCTTTACATTTTCATTTGTGTTATGTGGATGGCAGATTTTTTTCCTTATTCCTCTATTTGGGACAGAAGACAAATAGAATTTTAAGTGTTTGTTTTTAAAATTGATATTCTAATTTTTATTGCTAAAATATGAATACACATTTCATTTGTAATAATTATATTTTGTTGAACTTCACTGTTTACATCTCAATTCTAATAGTTTATGTATTCTCATTTTTTGTGTACATTAATGAATCACTTGAAAAGAAAGACAAGCTTTCTTCCTTGTTTTAGTCTTAATGCCTTGTATTACTTTTCTTGACTTATTTTGCTGGGTAAGTGCTCTGTAAAAGGAAGGAAAGCATGGAAATGCAGTTAGCCCATCCCCATGCTCTTCATGCCTGTTTGCAAGCACTCTACTTGAGGTTATTTTGGGTTTTCCTGAAGAATTTTTTCCAGTATTTTTTGTAAGATAAATCTTCTGGCAGCCAATAGACTTAGTTTTTCTTTTGTTAAAATTTCTTATTTTTTCTTCCTTTGGAGGATACTACACACACACACACACACACACACACACTACACACATACCCCTTATTTTGGTAGCTACTTTTATTTTCTTTCAGTAATTTAATGACATTATTTTTATCATCTTTTGTTGTCTGTTGCTTGATATGAACATTTTATCTTCTATCTGTTGCTTCCTTCAAAAGCATGATGGTTTTCTTCCTCTCCATGGAGTTCTTTTAAGATTTGTATCATTTTCTGATGCTGTGGAATGGCTATCACAAACTGATGGAGTCAGTCTGGCAATGCTTTGGATCTTGCATGGCCTAAATCAAGGGGTCAGCTGGAGCTGTCAGCTTTTTTGAAGCTTGGTCTTCTTGGAAACTCATTAGGTTATTACCAGAATTTAGTTCTCTGTGGCTGTAGAACTGAGGTACCTTGATTTTCAAGGACAGGTTAGCTGTTTTTTTAGGCTGCTGACTGGGAGAAACTCCAATTTTAAGGTTTGCTTGTCTTCCATGCCTCTAAATATTCAATTCAACAAGTGAGAAACACTCTTGTGTTCAATCTTCCTTCAGGTTCATCAAATCCTTGACTTGTTCTTTTGTGGCCATTGGAGAAAACTCCCTGTTGTAAAAGGATCATGTGATTAGGTTAGACACACACACACACACACACAATGCCCCTGTCTTTGTGCTCATATGAATTTTATTTGCAAAATTTATTCACACAAGTACTTGAATTGCTTTTGATTGAATAAATAAAATAAGATGTGTATTCACCAGTGTCTGGGAGCCTTGGGTGGCCAGCTTAGATTTTGCTGACTACAGTCTTTATCTTTATTTTTGAGCAGTAATGACTATGATGAATCTACATGTGGGTTTCTTTGTATTTACAATGAGCTGTTGGAATTGTGGCTCATACCCTTTACCAGTTTTGGAAATTCTCATCCATGATGTGATCGAGTTAAGGTGTCTTCCCCTTTGTTTCTGTTCAGCACTTGTGAAAATCAAATCAAACATGTTAGGTCATTTGAAATTAAACACAGCTCTAATGCTTTGTTAACTTTATCTTATCTTTCTTTGATTCAGTTGAGATAATTTCTATTGGCATGTTTTTCTCTAAGTCCACCCAATGAATCTCTAATTTCATATGCTGGTTTTTATTAGCATCAGTTTTCTGTTGTTAGTTCCAATATATGAGTGATTTGTTTCTCTTGTAGTATATTGTGTGTATGTGTGTGTCTGTGTGTGTGTGTGTGTGTGTGTGTGTGTGTGTGTGTGTGTGTACTAGGCATTGTGTTTAAAAGAATCTTGGAATGTGAAGTAATTTTTTAACAAAGAAAAAGCACATCATCCTCTGTGCTTTTTCAGTCTCTGACTGATCACCCCAATACCATTTTAGCTATAGTGAATTAATTAATGACACATTAATTACTTTCATTTCACATCTCATTTTTTAAGTTTTATATTGTGTTCTGTATTATGTTCTTGACAGACTCCTCTCTCTAGCAGAAATCTACAAAGAAACTCTGGAACCATTGTGAAATCTTTCTCTGACTACAAGCCATCCTCACTAGCATTCCTGTGTACAAACTTCAAAACTTCACAGTGAAGATTCAACAACCAAGGAGAAATATTTCTGAATTAATAGCTCCTTTGCAGTTCAACTAAGCATGTAATGTCATATTTTCTTGAAATTCCTTTCTATTAACATAAATTCTTAGATTTTAAAAAAACAGGCGGTTTAATGATTTTTAATTTTTTCTGTTTTCTGATGATACTTTCTATTTTTGGAAAACTGAGATAGGAAGAGCCTGCCTGACTGAATGGGCAGAAGGGCAAGGCCATTGAAGTTCCATGTTAGACTGTGTAGGTTAGTGGACACAGAGAAGGAAGGTAATGTAAAAGTAGGCCAATGATTTAATGGGTGATTTTCCCATTATGCACATAATGGATTTTTCACATTTATCATATCTTCAGCCTCCCTGTCCACTTCCACACAGATAGTTCTATTTCTCCAAATATTTTTAGAGCATAGTCCTTCTTCTGTCAGTCTGATGTTCAGATAGGTTATAAAGGAGGGTTGCAAAAGAAATAATGGCATGGAGTAGATCAGAGCCATTTTATGCCGCAAAATGGGTGAAGAAACCTTGGAAATGCCTTGATTGAGGAAATGATCCTACAATTCTATGACCAATTCTGCCAAAAATTGTCCTAGGAACATGGAAGCTAGAATGAGAGGAAGTTCCACAAAGGAATGCATGAATGCCAGGTTTGACTAATACTGAATACAGGCTATACAAGGATTGCAATAACTATTTGTATAATTAATACATATGTTTTCCATGATAGGAGTTTTAAAATTTTCAAGTTTAATATAACATGAACTCTACATAAATATTTCTGGGTTGGATGACTTAATTCTGGAATTTGGATAAGAATATCAATTTCCTCTCTTTTTATGTTACTGGGATTTGAGCTCAGGGCTCAGGGCCTTGTGCCTGCTAGGCAGGTACTCTACCACTAGACTCCCCTCTCTTGTCTAAAGCTCAGCTGGTCACAGTAGATTTGACTTTTCTTCAAGATCTGTGCTGTCATTAGTTGTTCTTAGTGATCTGTGCCTTGAGGTTGATTTCATGTTGCCCAATAGGTTCTGTTCTTAACTTCTTGCCACTAATCTTTGCAGGATACTATCAGAACAATGGATTTTATTCTCTTTGTGCTCTGCTGAAGACCCTAATCAAGTGGGTTGTGCTGATGTCACAGGCTAACAGAGGACCTTCTTGTAGCTGCTAACAGTTTGCTCTTGATGTATATTTGATTAGATTCATTGTGAAACCAGTTTCAGAAGAAGGGTAATTGCATAACCAGCTGCTATGGTCATGATTAATCTTGGAGTTAAGTCAGTATTGCTAAAATGGTTGTATTACTTGAGAAAGCTTACCGTCTACCTTTGTCTGACTACTAAGTACTTGGTATAAATGGAACAACATTGCATTATCACCACACAGAAGTGGAAAAAGACTATCATGGCATACAAAATTCTGTGCTTGGGATTGCTTTGTGTAGTCTTTGCTTATTATATTCATACGCCCATGCCAGAAAACTTTGAAGAGCCTTGGAAAATAGGACTCATGGATGCTGCTATGAAGATGACTTCCCTCACAGTAACATCTTCTAGGTATTGGGATGCCGTGCCCAGTACATATGAACTTTCAGTTAGTGTTTTGAAAGAAACTGATTTTCTTTTAGGATATATCAACCAAATAATATTAATGTAACCAATATGATTAATTTAATCATTAGGCATGTTTATTTGAAATTGTGCAAATCAAATCAATAATTGACATGTTTATTTGAAGATGTACAAATAAAGAATAAACATTCTTGATAATAATGTGCATCTAAAGATAATGACCACATATTGCTAATCAGAATAAAAGGGATGATATTGTCTAAGAGAAAAATTGGGGGAATTTTACATAGCTTAAATATATTTGACATTTCTGAGGTAATCTTGTCCCATACATTGTTTTAAAACTCACCTGTAAATATCAATGGCATTTTTACATTTAGTACTTTTACTGTTTTAATATTTTTTTCCTTTTTTAACAGTTCTCCAACTATCTGTTCTGAGAAACTTCATTCTTTGAGTTACTGAGGTCCCCAAAGCTTTTCTATGTGGGTTATATTTATCAATATCAATTGCTTAGAGATTAACTTCCTTATAAATGATGATGATAATGTCATTTACAAGTAATAAATTTTGTTAAAATAAAATGACTTTTTTAAAACAGAGGAATAACTTAGACAGCGGCACCTTCTTGTAGTTTTTCAGATCTCTTTAACATTTCTTCAGGGAAGACAACTAGAGTTTCTAACCTGCTTTTGAGTTTGATCTAGCCCACAGGACTAGACAGTGAACCACACTAGATCTGTGTCTTTAAATTCACACAACCTGGCTGTTTCCAAAGAGCTTGAACACTCCTTTATATCCACACCAGCAACTCCCTCATCCTTACCAGCACTTACTATCTTCAACTTTTAAAAATGAATCGCCTTTGAAACAATTTAATAAGTGAGCTGGGCAGACTGGCTTTGTTTTATTTCTCACATCTGTTCTTTCCCCTGGATCTGTCAGTTTGGCATTTTAGAAATAAGTTGTGTGACTCCTCTAACTTTATTCTTTTTCAAACTAAAGTTGCTCAAGTTTTTATATCTTTGATGATTTTTCTCTAACATGTCACTCAATTACCATGTAAGAAGTTTCCAAATATAATTGTGGATAATATATTTCTGTTTTCATGGATTCTGTTTATTTATTTATTTATTGACATTACTAGGGTTTGAACTCGGAGCCCAAAGCTTCTTAGCAGGCATTCTACCTCTTGAGCCATAACTCCAGCCCTTTGTTTCTCTTTGCAATTCCAGCAGATTTTGGCACATGTATTTTGGAGCTCTATTAAATAGGTTTTTCTTCATTATTTCATTATTGTATTCTTGGTGAAATTTTAAAATCATTATTTTATGTATGTTTTTATCCATGGTAATTTGTCTTGATCTGAAATCTACTTTTTCTGATATTATTAAACCACTATGGCTCTCTTTTAATTATTCTTTGCATGTGATCTATATTTCTTATCTCTTTTCTTCCCAATAACCTATGTAATTATATTTAAAATGAATGTCTTAAATTTAGCCTACATTTCTTGCCCTTAAGTATTTAAAGGCAAGAGTATTTAAATACTCTTTATTAATGAATATTTTTATATTTGATACAATCTGTGATATGCTTGGAATTAGTTCTACAATTATACCATTGTTTTCTGTTTAAACACTTCTTGTTCCTCTATTTCTTCCCTTGCTTTGGATATGTGGATTTATTTTAGCATTCCACTTTTGTTGTTCTATTATTGTTTGGTTGTCTTCATTTTTTCCTCTCTCCCTTCTTTCCTTCCCCTTTCTTCTCTTCCTCCCTCCCTCCCTCCTCCCTTTCTCCCTTCCTTCCTTCCTCCTCCTTCTCTTTCTTTCTCTCTCTCTTTCTTTCTTTCTCTCTCTTTTGCCTGTGACCTACATGGGTATGCTGCGTGAACCTGACTAAGAGCAGCGGGGGAATGAGAAATTCGACACACAGACATACAGACATAAAACAGAAAAGTGGGATCTGGAGGGCTACATGTTCCTGGTGGTATATGTGACCGCCTATATGAGCCAGAGTGTTTATTTTATAGGTCAGTACAAGGAAAAGACTCAGGTAAAAATCAAGCTTCAACAATTCTTTGATCTAAGGTAAATGGAATGAGGTCTGGTAGGCTAATTTTCCTAAGGTTAAAGAAGCTTAATTACAGCACATATGTTCTGGATTCATCAAGGCACACAGGACACTTTATCTAACGTATTGATTAATCTGGCATCAGGGACTCCCCAAACAGTTCTGGTACTTTATCTAGTTTTGCATCAGGGAGCTGGTATGTGGACACAGTAGGTTGTTTTCTTCAAGGAGATGCAGGAACAAAGGTGCTGGGAAAATTATGGTAGGAGAGCTCTGCAAGCTCCTACTATGGAGAGGCTATGCAAGCTCCATTATTTCCCAGTCTAGGGTTCATCCCTGGTCTCCAACCTCTAATACTCTTCTCTCTCTCTCTCTCTCTCTCTCTCTCTCTCTCTCTCTCTCTCTTTTTCTAGTCTTGAATTCCTAGGCTCAAGTGATCCTCCTTCCTCAGCTTGCCAAGTAGTTTTATCTATAGGCATGCATTACTGTGCCCAGCATTGACTACAGTTCCTTATGCTCTTGATAATGATTTATTTTTCTAGCAGTTGCAGCATGTGTTCTTAGATTTTCACAGCTTACATAGGTTGTTTATCCTTAATCTCTTCAGTATAATTGTCATGTGAGTGCAGCTCCTCATACCTGTTAGCACACTTTATTTTCAATAGTTACACATATTTTAAATAATTTTAGAGCAGAATATTAGTCTATTGTACTGCATAGTTGGTCTTCCTTGATCTCAGGGGTACCAGATTTCTCAGTGGTATCATTTCATTTCTAAAAGAAATTTTAGCAAAGATTTATTTTATTTTAACTGGTAAAGTAGAGAGAGGTAGGGGAAATAGAAGAGAGAAACATTTCCTGCTCCCTTAGCAGGAAATGGGAGTAAGGACTTGTCAGTTTCTTTTCAACTAAGGTACTTCCTTCACCGTTTCTATTTCTGAAAAGTACATAAATTCCCTTCATCTTCTTTCTTGTGATAGTTGTCTGTGTTTTTTCTCTATCTCTGTTTTGCACTTTTATAGCATGTTTGCTTTACACCAAATTCTAGGTTGTTGGGTATTTGCTTTCAACACATATTTGAGTATCTTCTGGTGTTCATGTTTTCTAATGAGAAATCAGCAGTCTTCTGATTTCCTTAAAATATATGTCTTTGCTCTGGCTGCTTTCAACTATTTTGATCTTTGGTTCTTAGCAATTTCATTGTGATTTTTCTTTGAGTTGATCCTCCTTGAGCATTGGCAATCTTCTCGGCTCTACAAATATCTCAACACGTTTGGGACATTTTTAGTCATTATTTCATCAGCTGTCTTTTCTGTGATATCTCCTCCTTACCTTCTCTCTCCTCCCCCTTTCTTCTCTGATGACACAAGTTTTAGATTTTTTGCTATTGCCACACAGATCCCCAGACATGCTCTATTTTACTTCAATTATTATTTTTCAGATGGTGTATTCTCTTTCATCTATCTTCAAGTTCAGTGAGTCTAGGCTTTGCCATCTCCATTTTACTATTAAGCTCATACAATGAACATTTTTTTGGAAATAGATAATTTTTCCATTCTAAAATTCGCATTCAGTTGATTTTACTTTTCCTACTTCTTCCTTGAGGATGGCTAGTATTTCTTTCATTTCCAGAGGATTCATCTTTATTTTATGGAGAATAATGATATGGGTGTTTTGAAATCCTTGATTTTGCCTCTGGATCATCTTGAAGTTTGCATTTTTTTATTGTGTACCACCTAAGGATAATTTCTCTCATTTGCTTTGTTCTTTTATGTCAAGTAATTATAGATTGCATCATGGGCATTTTGGCAATTTTGTTTTGGTACCATGGGATCTTAAATTTCTTTGAAGAATATTGTCTTATTTAGTCATCATTTTGTTTTGAGAGACTTTTGATCACATTAGCCACTTTTGAAAGATTTCTCTTCCCTTCTGTGAGAACAGTGATCCCTGTGTCAGTTCCATTTTCAAGGCTTCTTCTATGCTGTTTGTGTTTTTCCTGTTGTGTACCACCTAATGTTAGGTTGGGAACCGGACACTGGTTTACATTACCAAAACCTTGGCTATGCTTCTTCCATTCACTTAACACTGTATGGTGTATGGTGAGCACCATTTTCTAGCTCTCTCTTTTTGTAGGATTTCCCCACACTTTCTGGCCCATGATCCATTTTTTGCCAGTGTTTCTGGCACAGTGGTTCCCCACAACTAGACCCACTTTCAGTGTAAAGCTTGTGAAGGAAAAGAAAGGAAGAAAATAGCATACAATTTGTTTATACATTTGGACAATAAGAGCCCCTTTTCACAGCTTCTTTGACCAGAGTTTTATGTGTTGGCACCTCCACCACAGTAGAAAAAAAAATAGCTCTTACTAATGAAACTTGCCTTGGAGTCTGATGGGAAAGAAAAGAGAAGAAAGACAAAAGAAATGAAAGTGGGAACTCCCCATTTCATGTGCATTAATTGCTCCTATAGCTGCAAACAGAAAGCCTCTCTGGAATAGTTATTTGCATCTCTCCTCCTTCATTGTTGGTTTAATCTGAACCCCGGTCAAAGTCTGAAGACAAAAGAACAAATATGTGACTCATCCTGTTTCATGGAAACTTATTCAAGGGTTGAATTTCTTCTCTAATACCCTTTTGTTTGCTTTTTCAGAAAGCTGTTCTTTTGTGCTGTGTGTGTAAGTTTTAGTTGTAGTCAGTGGAGAGATAGACTTCTCTGAACTTGTTCCATCTTGGCCACCGGAACCTGTAATTTTAACTACTCCATTATAAATAATACTCAAAAATTAATAAACATATCATCAAGAATATATTCTTTAAGACTTTGCGATAAAGTTAAAATAGTTCTTCAAATGATTTTAAGGAAAATGGAATAAGTCTATTTGTAGTTGATAAATAGAAATATAGGCTATTACTAATGTAGTAAACAGTTGACTTAAAATGTTTAAATGAAATTGAAATACCAGTAAAATAAAAGGAAAATGTTAGAAATATGCAAAGAGAAATATATAATCTTATTTCTCAATTCTGCAGATAGAATTTTATGATTATGAAGTAACTAGACCAACCTAAAATATAGTGCCAGAAAATTGGTGCTTTAATGAGATCAATCTTATTCTCAATGCCTCGCACTTACAACCTGTAGAATTGCACGCTGGTCCAGTAAGACCTCTCCAGCATTGCCACATTACTTCTACTTCCTTTTCATCACATCTTTATATGCATTCGGTGGTATTAAAATAAAAATGTTTAATGTTTTAACTTTTGTTTTGATAGGGTCTGTTATTTGAAAATATAGGTTTGATGAAATATGAAGAATTATTTTACTCATTAACATCGCTGCTCCTTACAAAAGCAATTTCAGATGAAAATATTACAGTGACTGACACAAACTTTAGTGGAATTCCTGTTCGCTTGTATTTGCCAAAACGGAAGTCAGAAAGACAGAGACCAGCTGTAATTTTTCTTCATGGTGGTGCCTTTGTCTTGGGAAGTTGCAGTAAGTACATTTTATTGATGTATATGTTGAACATTATATGTATTTAAAGTATATTGTGTACATATAATTAAATATAATGTATTTAGAGAACATTTGTTGATACTGCATTTACTTTTGTGAGTATGTGCATGTTATTAGAGACAAGGCAGACAATATCAACCATGTTTTATACATATTTCTTTATATACAGTTAGGCAATTAAATAATAAAAATAATAGGTAAGATTTGGTTTTCAAAATTTTATTATTAAATAAATTTATATTGATAGCAACACATGGAAAGTGCAAACATAAACTTGAGTTTTGAGTTTCAAATACCAAGGGCCCAACTTCAGGCCCCCTGAAAGTGAAGTGGTTGAATCAGAAATGATACAATTTATGCCATCAGTAGCAAGCATATGTTCAAGGTGTAGACTGTGTTACCACAATAATGTAGAGGTTTAGAGTCCAATGCATAGCTTCGATCTCAAAATGAATAGAGCTGAATAAGTAGTGCCTGCTACAAACTCTGCTTTTTTGTGCTACTTGGGTGCAGGGAACACACATGGACACACACACACCTGCACATCCCTGCACATGCATACACACACATGCAAACATGTACACAGACATGGACATGCACACATACATGAACACACACCTATACATGCACATGAGCGCACATTTGTATATTTCTACACACACACGTACCCACATTGTTTTTTGGTTGTTGGTGAATACTATGGAGTCACTACACAGTGCAGAGGTCAAAGGATATTGTGCAGTGTACTTATAGGATGTAAGATACAAATGCTAAGACTCCCTTCTTAAATAGCCTGATTATTGTATACTGAATTTTGGCTCCATGATATCTTAACACTTCAAAATAAGTAAAAATGCTACTGCATTCAGTTGGGTGCCCAACTTTTACTTTGCTAAGGAAGCAAATGCCATTCTCAGGAAGTGAGGGAAGGAAGCCAGACTTCAGTAATGTCCTCCAAGTTTTTACTATTAGTGAGTGGTGGAGACCACAGCCCAGCCTTGGCATGTTGCAGGCTCCACAGGTTTAACCATCACACTGTTGAGCACTCACTCCATAGAGTGAGCTACATGCTCTCAATGTAGCTTAAGAACACACCCCCCTTTCCCTCTCTCTCGTTTTCTTTTTGTTGAGATAGGGTGTCACTTTGCAGCTCGGGCTGGCTTTGAAGTCATGATCCTCCTGCCTCAGCCTCCTGAGTGCTGGGATTACAGAAGTGCATCACCATGCCTGGCTCAAATTGCTGTCTCTTATATGTAGTTAGCCTTTCTCATTTATCCTTTCCATACTGTCTCCGAGACTCCCAACTCCATCCAGGATGCAAGTGCCTACATTCAGCACCTTCATTCACTCTTCCTCCTTCCTCCTCTCACCCTTCTCATACTTTCTTAAAACATCAACAGCCATATATATATAGCTCACTTCTTTCTGCTTATGCCTTGGGAAAAGACACTTTTATATCTTGGCAAAGTTTAACCTCTCTCCCTTACTTAGGACCATATTTTCTCCTACTTCATTATTTGGTTTTATAAATATTTCTCCTCTATTTTCCTGTTTGACTCTGTGTTGAATCCTGGAGACATCATTTTCTCTTTTGCTGTTCACCACCATTGATCTATCGCCAACTGTTTCTTTCTCGTTTCCTCTTTACAACATGTAAATCACCTGTATGACTTCTTATATCTAAATTTTTTGTGATATTCACTCCTTGTTTATAAATAATACCCTGAGTTAGCCACCTTGCTTCCTATTTTCCTACATTGCCTTACTTTCTCCTCCTTTATATCTCTGCATTTTTAATTCAGTTTTTTGACTTGTTTGTTTGGTTGGTTTATGAGACAGGGTCTCACTATGTTGCTGAAGCTGGCCTTGAGCTCTCTGGGTAGTCCAGGCTGGACTTGAACTCTTGCACAGCATCCAGAGTGCTGAGATTACAGGCATGCACCACCATGTCTGGATCAATTGTATTTAGCTATCCTTATTTTCCTGCATCTGTATGTATTTTCATAAACTTTTGCCTTTGAGTACATTTTTTCCTACAATGAGTTCAGTTTTTCCCTTTCCATTTGATAGCAGTCATTATATCTTTACACTTCACATAATGAGTGCCCAATTAACGCCTTTTGAATGAATTAATATATATTGAATGACTGAGAAGAATTTTGACATTGCTTTCTGGGGGATTGTATCACAAAATTTTACTCTACCTTTTTTATATCTTTCCATCTCTTTTAAGTACACATTAACTAGAGTCAATAGATAATCAATTTTATAAGGAATTAGAATGGCAAGAATATCCTACATACTGATTTGGACTAAAATTTAAACTATCACATCTGTTCAGAAGAATGATTTAAAGATTATTAAGTATGAACTCTACTACACATATCCAAGAGTTCAGTGAGGGGAAATCTTACTTTGTTCTGATTACAGCAAGAACTGTATCTGGCAATGCATAAACTAATATCATTTTCTTGAAAAGGACAACAATACTGACTAGAATTTCCTGGAAAAATGGAGTATGGTTGAACCTCAGAATATGTAAAAATCATAACACTGGGTATAGTATTATCTTCAACTTAATTCCAGAGCTCTAGCTTATTCTATCATTTATGGGATGCCATGGTAATGAGTGTTTCAGTTCTAAAAGTCAAGGTACACACTTTCTCTCTCTTCTTAGTATGAGAAATCTAGGCTTCAACCAAGGGATGGTCAAACAATGTGCTATTACTAATGAAGCATTGCAGACTGTGTCCCTAGCTCTTGCTAATGGGTTATCCTTGAGATAAATAACTGCCCAAGAGTGTCTAGCCATGCTGCACAGCCATGAGCCTTCTCCACATGAGATCTGCTTCAGACAGGAGCAGATCCTAGTATGTCTGGGCCATCCTTGGTGACGTGAGCATCAAGGTGACCTGAAAGAAGTGTTCTGGAATGAAAAAAAACAAAAAAAAAAACAAAACAGGACTAAAGGGCATGCCAACTTTCTTTTCCCGTGGTGGCCCAAGAGATGCTTTCTCCTGGACTTTGGTTAAGGATGATTTTGAAGGTGAAGGATAAGGAAGGTTTGTTACTCTGACAGTGTCCCCTCCACAGGGCCTTAGAAGTAGGGATCGGAGAGGTTTTATGAGTTAAGCACAATCCATGTTCCTATGACATTTTACAAGTGTAGGGGTTTTCCATTTCTTTATTTGCAGAGTACCTCTTTGTGTTTATTTGTTTCATTTCAGAACTGGAGGCCTATGACTTCCTGAACAGATTGGTGGCAAACCAGCTTGACGCTGTTGTTGTGGGAGCAGAGTAGGAGTTGTTTGTTCTCAGTACTGTGGCCCTGGCCCGCACTGCATAGTAGGCTTGATTTCCATTGCAAGTCATCCAAGCCTGAAAATGATTGGACCCTAGGGATTTGGAGATTATATTACTTTTTATAAGTAATATAATACATGCCTTCTTAAAGGGATATGCTTTTGCTTTAATCTCTGCCATTGTAGAGCTCTCTGGGAGACACAGAGGGTGAACATCTTGGCCAGCACAGCTATGATATCCTCTAAGTACATAAAACTCAGGTTATAATATCTAGAAAGAAGAAATTTAGTCATCTATTACACACTTGGGACAGTGGGGTTTACTTGAGATGATAATTTAAAAATGAAGGTTAGAGCTTTTCTTACTTGGAGTAATATTAGGTGACCAATGTTGGAACCCTCTAAGCACTTCAAGTCATTCTTAAAATGAGAGCTCTTAGTATGTCATGACTTGTACCCAAATTTACAACAATATACCATAAAGACAAGTAAATGCTTACTACTTTTTGACCTATCCAGGTGTCCTATGTACTTCTGAATCCTTCATCCTCAGGTTAAAGAATTTTTCCTTCTCTTCTACCAATTCCATAGTGTTGAAATGTACTTAGAAACTTGTAGGTTAATGACAAAAAATAATAAAGTAGGATTTCTTCACTAAGTGGAACAAAGTGTAATCAGTGCTAATTACTGCTTATCAATACTGTGGCCCACAGTGTGTAGGTTTGATTTCCAATGTAAGTCACTCAAGTCTCAAAAATGATTGGACCCCAGAGAGTTGAAGCTCCTATTTTAAATCGTTTTCACATAGCATTTATGAAATGAAATGTGACATACAATCTTGTAGAATCTTGACCTAAATAAATTTCTCAGACACCTAAAAGTCATTTGCTCTCAGATTTTCTGTTTTTAACTTTTCTTGTGCATTCCTATCAATGGTTCTGAAAGTTTTTGAGTCACCAACATCATTGAGAGTCTGAACTCTACAGAAAGTGACCACTGCACTACTGATAGCTGTTCTCTGAACATTTTGCAGACACCTTTATGAGGGCAAAGGCATATCCTTGTCCCACTCATTTCTTTGTAGAATAAATACTTGAGAACCCTTATAGTTTAAAACAGAAGTTATTAGTAAGCACAGGCTAAAGTGGTGAAATTAAAGATTCAGGTAAGGCCACTTTTGTTTGTTAAATTGGAGATAATTGAATATACACAAACTAAGTTTAATTATAACTTTGTTGCTTTTTTTCCTCAAAAGCTACAGACTAGCTCCTCAATATCATTTCCCAGTTTCCCTTGAAGATTCTATTTTTGCAGTCAAGTTCTTTCTACAGGATAAAATTCCAGTGAAGTATGATGTGGACCCCACCCGCATCTGTATCTCAGGAGACAGTTCTGGGGGCATGCTGGCAACACAAGTGACTCAACTGGTACTTTGTATGTCATGTGTCATGTGTGTTTATAACATGCACACTATAGTTCTCATGCAAAAAAGATCACTTTAGTTGCCATACTTATATTAGTCTTATCCTTTAAACTGTGAAATGAAAAATAAATAAGCACCTGTCCTTTTTGCATAATGTTACTTTTAGATGTAAAATGGTTTTAATTCTGTAATGCTAAATAAAGCTTTTGTCTAAGAACTACCATTTAATATGATAGGTTTTTTTGTTCTCCATAAGTAAATTATAAAATCTGCCAAGAATTTGGGATTATTGTAATTGATGTGCTAAACCTTGCAGAGTGCCATTAGATAACATTTGGGCTATGTGCCATGCCTTTACAGAAGAATCACTACTGTGACAAAAAAGCACTGGCCTTATTCTTAAAACCCTACTTATGTGTAGATGGATAATAACTGAATGATAAATAACATGTCTCAAAAACTAACTCAATCCAGTACATCATTCACTCATTCAAAACCATTTTTTATGGAAAAACTAGTTCAACCAGGGGGTTTCCTTTTCAGTGTATAGACTGACCTCCACTTTCAGAGTGAATGTGGTCTCAAAAAGTAGTGTGTAAGTTTTTATTGAGCCTTTTATCAAATACTTTTAGACTTTTCAAGATGGTTGCGAAGACACTAATAGTGTATGTTAAATGTCTTTAGGTTAGTCATCTCATATTTTAAGATAACGTCGCCTTTCATTATTAAACTATTACAAAATTCTGATGAAATTATAACAAAGTCTTTTTTTTTCATTTATTCATATATTCATACAATGTTTGGGTCACTTCTCCCCCCTACCCCCCACTCCCTCCCTTTCCCCCTGCCCCCTCCCTCTCCTCCCCACTCCCTCGCTTCCAGGCAGAAACTGTTTTGCCCTTATCTTTAATTTTGTTGAAGAGAGAGTATAAACAATAATAAGAAAGACAAAGGGTTTTAAACATAGATGGGGCTGTGGGCATGGCTCAAGTGGTAGAGCAACCTGTCTAGCAAGGTTAAAGCCCTGAGTTCAAACCCAAGTACTACCAAAAACAAAGCTAAACAAGCAAAAACCCTACAGGTATCTTGTCCATCTTCCCTATGAATATCATAATTATACTTGCTGGTCATATGTGAATAAATTTGTGTGTGTGTGTGTGTGTCTAAAATAAAGTATAAATATTATGAGAGTAATCACTAGTTATGTCAGTCTCATAAATTTATTTACTTCAGATGATTGAAGCCTCTTATACCTGTTCAAAAGCCTTTGATGCGTTAATATTTCATTATATTTTCAGCTACAGAATGATCCAGGATTCAAAGGTAAAATTAAGGCACAAGCCTTAATCTACCCAGGCTTACAATTTCTGGATACTTTGATGCCATTTCATGTAGAGTATGAACATGATCCGATTCTGCCAAGGGATATAGCGATTAAACTGGGATCCCTATATATGACTAAAGACAAAGCACTGCCCCAAGCAATGTGGAAGAACCAACATATGCCGCAAGGATCCAGACATCTATTCAAGTTTGTTAACTGGAGCGCCTTCTTGCCAGAGAAGTATAAAAAGAACCATGTTTACACTGAACCAGTTACTGGACAATTTAATGCTTCCTATCTAGAAATTTTGGATAGTAGGTTGTCACCTTTGCTAGTTCATGATTCTGAGTTACAGAATTTGCAATTAACTTATATCCTTACTTGTGAACATGATATCCTAAGAGATGATGGACTTATTTATGTCACACGACTTAGGAATGTTGGAGTTCAAGTTAATCATGACCATATAGAGGATGGAGTCCGTGGAGCTCTAGCATTCACGCCACCATTTAATTTACGTTTAGGCTTTAGAATCAGAGATAAGTATATTCGTTGGTTAGAAAAAAATCTGTAACTCTATAAATAATGCATGTGGCTAGATAATCATTTAGTTACAATGTAATCCAAAGGCTGTATTTTGAAGTATATAAGCTTAATGGACAGAACAATGGTATGAATTTGGGATAAATCTAAGTTTAAATTAGAATAAAGTCTACTTTGTATCTTTGAGTAAGTTACTTAATTTTCCCAATCATATCCATGTCATTATTCCCACTAAATGTCATTTATTGTGCCTGATCAGTTCTAAGTATGCATTAGTAGTAGAGTATTAACATATGAGTATAGTTATAGAAAAAACAGACATGACAATTTCCAGGCAGTGATACCAATGGTGATGAGAAGGAAGGAAAAAGCTTGCGGACACTTGCATGGCATTTGTGTGAAGGGGAGCATTCCATTGCACTGTAGCCACTTTTTATTTAGGTATTGTCAGTACATCAACTGAATCTGCTAAGTGTAAATTCCATGACATTCAGTTCATGTAAACTTCATATTACTAGGCTTCTTTGTTCATATTGCTAGCTTTCTTTGCTGATAGATAGATGTTAACATCTGGGCTGCAAATCATTTTAACAGCCTAAATGTTTGACTTTTACTCAAAATTTTAATAACATTGACCTTGAAGTTAAGTACATTGACTACATCAATTGCTATTTTGATTACTAATCCAAGAAGTTTCCTAACTAACTATACATGGCAGTCAGAATCATTTTTTGTATTATTTTTAAATTTCTGCAGTGAATTATGTAATGAGCAAGACATTTAAGTTGGTGAGCTCCAGAAGTATTTGCTTCCTTGTTACGCTGGGACCACACTCCTCACAGCCCACAGCACTACCATAGCTAAAATACATTCCTACCAGGGACATTAAAAGCATTGTCTAATTTTCTGAGGTCCCTGTGATGCTGCCATTTGTGTTGTCTTATTTTTCCTATTCTGTGGCTATTCCTAAAGGTGAGAAAACGTGGTAATGTGTAAGTTAATTGTAACTTGTGAATCCCATTGATAATCCAATCCCCAAACAGTGTTATTATTATTATTATTATTATTATTATTATTATCATCTGCCTGCCGCTTGGTCATTTGCCTTTTGGTCATATCAATAATAAACTGTTTGCTAATCCTTCCGCAAATAAGGCTTTTCCCTGAAATTCAAACACTAAGCTTTGCACCAATCCAGAGAATGCCAATTACTTTTGCTATTATTTGTCTCATGATATGTGTGAAGCTGTAACATTCCACAAAGCAATCATCTGGTGGTTTCATTTGTGAAACAGAAAAGACATCCACCAACTCATCTTAAACCAGAAATTGCTGAATTAACTATATTGTTTAAATCATGTGAGTAGGTACTGCATATCCAATACTTGCTTTTGTAAACATTCACTGGGAAGTTCTTAGATAAATTGCAGCATTCATGCACATTTTGTTCAGTGATTCATTTGCAAAGCTTAATTGAATGTTCTCTGTAGTAATTCAGTTTCAAAGAAACCCTGATTGAGAAAGGATGACAATACAGCAGCACAACTATTTTCTAGTTCTTTTAAACAAATATTTTGAAGTAAATTCTTAATGGTTAAACAAAGTCATAGAGGATTAAAAGCACAAAAGTGTGCTAGAATTAAATGTAAGTTATATTAATTTATTAATTCTGCCACTATTCAGATGATAATCTCTCTATATATACATGTTTATATATATATCTCAAATTGAACATTACTTCTCTTATATAATAGCATATTTGTATAGGGATATCAAATACTTGAACAAATTGCTAGTTTCATAGTAATTTTATACATGATATCTTTTGAATAAATGTCTAGGTTTACCAGCTGCTTTTAAAATATAGAGAAAGTAATTAATTATCTCTTGAGACATAAAGGAGTTATGAAAGAACCCTAATAGTTTACTCATCATTACAGTGAATGAGAACTTCATTGTCTAATTGAAATGTACCAGGAACAGATAACTTCATAGCCAATTTTATCTCACTTGTAAATTCAGTTTATATGTGTTTAGGAAAGTACTTTGAGTAAAATAAGTTAAAAGATTATACAATGTATTTTGTGAATTCAGTGGAACTTACATAGTAAGCTGTTATAAAAATTATAATAACAAGTTCCATTGTGAATACAGAAGAAAAATTCGACATAGAACTTTAGGTAAGAAAAATCAACAATAGACTGAGAGAATGATACATTGTGACTGAGTGGCTTCATTTCAGAAATGCCAAGATATCTCAAGCTAGAAATGTATCTAGCAATTTAAAAGAATTAATTGAGAAAAGCAATATAATAAACCAATATATAATGAGCAGAGAGTCAACAGAATTCACATTATTCCTCACTTAAATAAAACTCTAAACTAAACAAATGAAAAAATTTAAATATGAAAAAGTTTAACTGCAAATATCCAACAGTACATATTTGAAAAATAATGCAACTGTGAAAAACTTTAACTAAAGTAAGGATATAGAATGATGCCTGAAAAGATTAGCATTTCATATGTAGAGGTTGTGATAAAAGTAGACATAAGGAAAACACATACATGTAAACATTTGGAAATAATAATGAGACCTTTCCTAATGATATTATTATTTACAAACTTTAGAGTTTGGTTAGAATATGTAAGTGTTTACAAGAGACTATTGTAAGGTAGTTTTTTTGCAAGTTAAATATTAAAAAATAGTATTTCCCTCTCCTAGCAATAAACACTTAAAAATGACATTAGAAAACATTCTATTAGCAACACAAAAATAGTTAAAATTCAGGAAAGAGCATAACTTATTTGAAGAAAAACATCTTGAAGGATGAAAACTGAATATTAAATGTTCTTGATTAAAAAAAACTATAATAAAATGTTCACCTCTCTCCAGTTTAACATTTTCAACCCACAATACACATTTTTGGGAGACTTTCAGTGTTAGATAAAACAGTTTTAAAAATTGTAAGAAAAATAAATATTCAAAAACAGTAAAAACAAACAAACATGGAAAAGGACTTCAAGGAAGGAACAGCTTTTCTAGAGTTCATAACATGGAAGGTGATTATCTAAACACATTAAACAAGATACTATCCTATAATCCTAACGGCATTACAAACAAACATGGATGCCAAATTGCAGAAAAACAAACTTTAATCTGTTTGTGAGAATGCATGGTTATATCTTTTCTGTACACATTTTTGAAGTTTTGTACACTGGTACAAACGGACAAAAAAGAGTAGACATTTCAAAGTTGGAGCACAAGACTGCCATGATGCTTGAGAAACTTGTAGTACATGTCACTGTTCAGTGTCCTGCAGTAGCTCAGAATCCCTGCAGCCTGTCACCTCCCATTCCTGTCAGTGCATCTCACTTGGCATCACTCTGTGGTACCTAGACCTTCCTGTCTTCTAGAGACCAACCTATTAATCGCTTCCCAGCCTTTTAGTTAAGATCCAATGTAACATCAAAGTTGTTGCTGTTCAGAGGAAATGGAGGGTTTCAAGGACTGTGTGCCTCAAACTTTGAACCTTCACCCTTATCTCAATCCCTCTCTTCCAAAGATCAGTTGTCCAGTATGCCATTCTCTCCCTCACTTCCTTCTAATACCCCTCAAGGAAGGAGCATCATTCCTGTTGACATCAGTTTTTCTATCTTGTATTACATGGCTCTAGACCTATTATTTGACTTTATCAGTCTATCCCCATCAATCCTGTATCTTAAAATTATTGTTTGTTTTGCTTTTGAAATGACTATTGCTAAACATTTCGTGGTGCCAGTTATTCCTCAATTTCTCTTCTGATTAATTCTTTCTCATTTTACTTTCCTTAGACTTATTTCATACTCCATTGGCTCTAGTCCTTCCTTAATTACTTGTTTTACTTCCTTAAATTAACTCTCTATGTGCTATCATCATCTGCTGCATTTGATAATGACCTCTGTTCTTCTCCTCCCATTGTTTTCTGTAACAAAGTATCTCCTAAAAATTCTTCTGCCCTTCATTGTTTTCTCAGTCTTTCTATCACATCTCTCATTTAAAAATAAAGCAAAGTGGCATATTTTCCATATTTCTATTCATAAATTTCCTAACTATTCTTGTTCCCCAGAACTCCCTTGCTAGCCTTGCCTCTACATGTTTGCTTTTTCAGTGCCTCATCTGCTCCAGTGACCCATAGGCACTGCCTCCTCTGATACTCTTCCTGAGTTCTGTCTGCGTGTGTACAGCTGCCAATTAGATATGTCCATCTGGACAACCGCTAACTGCAAATGTGATCATCTTCCTATGTAAACTCAGTAAACAAAGAAATAAAACAAAAAAATCACCATTCACCCAAACATCCCAACTTCTTGAATAACCTTGGGATTATTACTCGAGAGCAAAAATTCTGTATTACTCTCAGTAAAGAGCAATTATTTTCTGCTCTTGGCTGTTCTTCAGCTCCTATACTCTGTCTTTAGCTCCTGGATTCTATTCTTTAGCTCCTGCACTCAGTTACCACATTCCCTTCATCCCACTTCTGAACATGACAACCCTATTTGCACAATGTAGTATTTCCTGATTTTTCACAAATATTACCTCTTGGTATCTCTGTGTCTTTCCTGTTCATCTTTATTTCATCTGTGTGTAATGGTCTGGATCTTTCACATGATTACTTTATTGACAATTCTTCAGTGACTCAATCACATAATAAATAACTTCGAATTCCTTACCAATCACATTGCCTAACCCTCACATTCACATTTCTTATCTTCTGGTAATGCTCCCCTCTGTAATTGTGGTTCAACCATATGAACAGCTTTTTGCCCCGACCCTTGATGCATTCTCATTTCTGTCTCTGATACTTTTCCATCTTACCCAAGGAAACTATCTACATTTTTATGCTTGGGTAAAGTCTCATTTCTGTATGTTTATTTGTTGTGTTGAGTGTGCATGGTCTTTCCTTTTTTGGTGTTTGAAATTTTTATTTCCCTTTCTTTGTTTTTCTATTCTTCTTCTCTAAATGAAAGTGAAAAGAATATTATCTCTAATGA